CCCAAAGCCAAGCTTTTTAAGACTCTGGCTAAGTATGTCCTCCATGAAGCTTTCTCTGGCCACACTGCTCTCTTTCACCTGCTTGCCTCAACCTGTAAAACTGTTCACTTCCTCCTTTCTAAAGACCTACAAAGTATTTAAGACACCAAATAATACTGTTTGTGTACTTTTCTATGGCTAATACTAATTTGATCTTTCTCTTGGGACAGTATGTGCCACACTAATCTCAGTAGGCACTCAAATGTTTGCTCAAGTAAGTCCCCCTCAAATATCAGATGTTCACAAATAGTTGATAAACTGTGTCCTCCAAAATGCACATCAGCATTCTAGATTAATAGATTACTCTAGATGAATTATTCCAGATTAATGGATTTTTTCTCAGGCTTTAAAACTAGTCCTCTGCACTTTTATAAAGCACATTCATACTATTTTTCAGAATGTTAGAGCTAAAAGCTGGACTTTTTAACTTGAAGGAAATGAGTTCTAAAAGGAAGCAGTGAGTTAGTTCTTCCTGCAACTTCTTTACTCTCTGGAAATTATTAATAGGATTTTAATATAATCTATTATGGGGCCCACTACAATTGCAAAATTGTATTATAAAAGCAGCAGCCCTACTTGTATTGCAGTAAAATAGTGAAAAATAAAATGTATTTAAAATAGAAGTTTTAAGACTATAGAGATCCTAAAGTAAAAGCTTCCCAATCTAAGAAAACAGCATTTCTTCAAAACCTTTGTTTCTAAGCTACTCCCACCAAAATCAATCATAGATGGCATTCTTGATTGGCTCACAGAAGTTTAGTGTAGTGTAAGTTTAGGCACTTGAAGTTTGAAATCAGACACTGAGTCTTGAATTCTAAACCCCTTCTTCACCCCCTTAACTAGCTGCAGGCCCTTGACCAAATTACTAAAAACACACTTTTTTTCTTATCTGGGAAATAAAAGACCCTAACACATTTTTTTTAAAGTAAGAATTAAATGACATAATATCTTTTGAGCACTTAGTAAAGTACTAAACAAACTCAAGAAAGGAAAGCTAGTTTTATTCCATAACATATATAAACCATGGTAGTATACACCCTAATCATTACATAAAAACTTATCAGTATTTAGATTAGAATGATAAAAGTTTCACAGTGATACAAAGTCTGTCATAAAACTCATATAACAGTGTGCTGTAGAATTTGGATTCTACAATATCTGGTAGCACATTTTTGGACAGGAAACAAAATTTGCTGCTACATTTTTCATTATAAATTCCTTAAACAATGAATACATTATGCATTTGTATTTCAAATTCAATAATACTGACGCATCTCAGAGGGAAGGCGGGGATGGTGGGTGAGAGGGTGGGTGGGGAGAGGTTAACCAAAGGATTTATATGTGTATCTGCATAGCCCATGGACACAGACAATGGTGTGGTGAAGGCCAGGGGTGGGGGTGAGAGCGGGACAGAAGGGGTCAATGGGAAAAAAAGAGATATCTGTAATACTTTCAACAATAAAGATAAATTTTAAAAAGAACAACAAAACAAATAACTGACTGGCCCTGGACAGTATGGCTTGGTTGGCTGGAGCATCATCTGGTACACCAAAAGGTGGTGGGTTCGACTTCCTGTCAGGACACATACTCAGGTTGGGGTTCGATCACTGGTGGGGCCTTGTGCAGGAGGCAGCCAACTGATGTTCCTCACATCGATGTTTTTCTCTTTCTCTCTCTCTCTCTCTCCTCCCCCCTCCCTGGAATGAATTTTTTTAAAAAAGATACTGGCTGCAGTAACAATCTAAAATCATGTTTTTAAAAATTAAGTTATTTTTTAATTAAGTTACAACTTTGAATGCCTAAAGAACCATGATAACTACCTTATCTGTCTGTCCTGAGTGAATGTAGTTACTGCAGCACTCTGGGTACTGTTTTGTGGCATACTAGATGGAATCTGCACCATGCTTCCGGCTGCCGGCTGAGAAATCACCATAGTGTTATACAGTGGGGCTGTAAGAGTGCTCTGGGTCTGACTCGAAAGAGATGTCTGTTGGCTGTGCCCACTCAGTACATTTTGTTGACTCTGCTGGAAAAGAGGAGATTTTAATGACAGATTAACTGAAAAAATTTACATCAGGAAGTATGCTTCTACATCATTCTAATAATAGTTGACAAGACAGAAATAGAAGTGGCAGGACATATTACTCTGGGGGAAATATGACCACCAAGTAATGACTTGTAGTTAACTGAAAATGAATTAGTTTTCAATACCTTGCTGGAAGGTAAGCTATGATTTTAGAAAAGAAGCATGATCTTAACAGCGATAATACAATATAAACAAAGAATTTCTATTAAATGCCCCAAATGAGTGACCAACATTAGTCATTTTTATATATTTCATTTGAAGCCCTGTGATTTATAGTCACAGATGTACATCAATTACCAAAATTTCCTGGAATATTGATTAAACCATCACTGTCCCAACAATTTATTCTTGACATATGGTAACATGTTTCCTGGTCAGCCTCTTTTGCAACTCAAACTCTTTTAATCTACAGAAGTAGTCTGTATGTTCATTTTTTTAAAAACTGCAAAATTATTTAAATGTCGAAACAGTGAAAGTATTTAACATCCAACAGTTTCACAACTAACACTTTTGAACAAAATATTTTAATAATTATCACTCAATACTATACTTTCTAATTACTACTATTAAATTTTTTAATATGGTATTATTTAAGATAGAGCTTTATTTTTGTTGCAGTAACAATACACATTTCAATCACTGAACACCCCACAGCCCACTGTAGTCGATAACATTACCTGACTTGATGTACTTTGTAAAGTCTGCTGTTGTATCATGTGTTGAGTTGTGCCAATGTGTCCAGTATTCATTCCACTTTGAATTTGGTTAGTTTGAACAACCTGGCCTTGCATATTTATAGGTGCGAGTTGTTGGATGTTAGATGAATTTCCAGAAGAAAGTTGAACAGAACCAAAATTCAACCCAGGGGTTGACTGCTGTAAAAACATCTTTTAAAATAAAGATTACATTAAAATGAGCTTCACAGATTAAAAACAAAGACGAATGAGAGCATTAAAAAAAGGAAAGCAAAAACAAGCTACAAATTAAAGTTTAAAAACTAACAAGACTAAGACATTTTGAATGAATTAGCAATAATTACTTAATAAAACATACTTCACAATCATTCATCCAGTCATCCTACCACCACGTTTCCAACTGTTGAACTGGCAGTTCTGCATCACTTATTTATAACTTATGGCATTAGATAAAAGTAGTTTTCACTTAAAGTTTCTCTTTACTAAAGTCCTAGTCTCTGACAAACATAACTTTAGACTGGCTGACAAAATAAGACTATGAAATTATACCTACTGGTATTTTATTAAAACAATGATTGATGATTTATTATAAATTCTATACCAACATGTAAAAGTCTATGTAAAACATAATTTTTATATTATGAATTAAAGCTTACTAAAAATTGAACTGCTAAAGAGGACTCTAACATGGAGGACCAAGGATATTGATGGAAATCATCTTAGGAATGAATTATTTCTAGAGACTATAAATGCAATTATAATGAGCAGGTAACCAATGAGTATTTGCTGAACTAAATTGATGAAATGTATCTCTTGTATGTCATTTTTAAAAAATGTTCAATTACAGTTGTTGTACATTAGTTTCAGGTGTACAACAGTAATTAAGATATTTACATAATTTACAAAGTGATCACACCAATAAATCCAGTTCCCATCTGACATCATACATAGTTGTTACAGTATTATTATTTTTAATCCTCACCTGAGGATATGTTTTTTAATTGATTTTAGAAAGGGAAAGGGAAAGAGAGAGAGAAATATTGATCAGTTGCCTCCCGTATGTGCGCCAACCAAGGATGGAATCCGAAACCCTTTGGCAACACAGTATGATACTCCAACCAACCGAACCACACTGGCCAGGGCTACAATATTATTGACTATATTCCCTATGCAAAATTTTACATCCCTATGACTATCCTATAACTACCAATCTGTACTTCTCAATTCCTTTACCTCCCCCCTCCCAAATCTGGCAACCATTAAAACATTCTTTGTTTCTATGAGTTTGTTTCTGTTTTGTTTGTATACTTGTTTTTTATATTACACATATCAGTGAAATCAAATGGCATTTATCTTTCTCTGTATGACTTACTTCACTGAGCACAATACTCTAGGTCCATACATGTTTTTGTAGATGACAAGATTTCATTCTTTTTATGGCTGAGTCATGTTCCACTGTATACAGCACCACTTCTTTATCCATTCACCTACAGATGGAAACTTAGGTTGCTTCCATATCTTGGCTATTGTAAATAACGCTGCAGTGAACGTACTGGATGTACATGTCTTTCTGAATTAGTGTTTTGGGTTTCCTCAGATAAATATCCAGAGTAGAATTGGTGGGTTCTTCTTTGTCTCGTTACCACCTTTGTTTTAAAGTCTATTTTGTCTTGTATAAGTATTGCTATCCCAGTTTAAAATTTTTTTAATTTCCATTCTCATGAAATATCTTTTTCCGTCCCTTTACTTTCAGTCTGTGTGTGTCTTTTGATCTCAGGTGAGTCTCTTATAGACAGCATATGTAAGGGTCTTATTTTCTTATCCATTCTGCCACCCTGTGTCTTTTAATTGGAGCATTTAACCTATTTACATTTAAAGTAACTGCTGATAGATAAATGTAGTTATTACCATTTTATTATTCATATTTTTTACCTTTTTTTCCCTTCTTAAAGCCATCACTTTAACATTTCTTATAATACTGGTTTTATGTTTTACATAGACTCCTTTAGCTCTTTCTTGTCTGGGAAGCTCTTTACCTGTCCTTAGATTCTAAACAATAACTTTTCTAAGTAGAGTAACCTTGGTTGTAGGTTCTTGCTTTTCATCACTTTGCATATTTCATGCCAATTCCTTCTGACCTGCGAAGATTCTGTTGACAAATCATTTGAGTCTTATGGGAGCTCCCTTGTAGGCACTGGCTTTTCTCTTGCTGTTTTAAGATTCTCTCGTCTTTAAACTTTGTCATTTAATTATGATGTGTCTTGGTGTGGGTCTCTTTGAGTTCATTTGTTTAGGACTCTCTGAACTTCTGGACTTGTATATCTATTTCCTTCGTCAGGTTAGGGAAGTTTTCTGTCATTATTTCTTCAAATTATTTTCAATTCCTTGCTCTCTCTCTTCTCCTTCTGTTACACCTATGATGCAAATGTTAGGACTCTTGACATTGTCCCAAGGACTCTTAAACTATCGTCATTTTTTTTCTCTATTTGCTGTTCTTATTGGATGTTTTCTGCTATCTTTCAAATCACTAATTTGATCCTGTTTCATCTAATCTACTGTTGAGTCCCTCTAAGGTATTCGTTTCAGTTACTGCACTCTTCATTCCTGACTGGTTCTTATGTTTTCTATTTCCTTTTAAAATCCTCACCCAAGGAAATGTTTTTAATTGATTTTAGAAAAAGACGACGGGGGAGAGGGGAAAGAGTAAGAAACATTGATCGGTTGCTTCCCATACATGTGCTGACTGGTGGTCAAATCCAAAACCTAGGTATGTGCCCTGACTGGGAATAGAATTCAAAACCTTTGGTATATGGGATGATGACCCAACCACCAAGTCGCCCAGCCAGTGCCCTATCCCCATTTTTATATTTCCTTCTCTTTGTTGAAGTTCTGAGATCATCAAGCATTTTTATAACCAGTGTTTTGAACTCTGCACATAATAGCTTATTTCCATCCTGTTTAGTTCTTCTTCTGGAGTTTTGTTCTGTTCTTTCATTTGGGATGTTTTTTGTCCCCTCCTTCCTGCTACCTCCCTGTTTGTTTTTATGAATCAGGTAGAGCTGCTACGTATCCTGGTCTTGGTAGAGTGGCCTTAGGTAGTAGGTGTCCTATGGGGCCCAGTGGTACAGTCTCCCTGGTCACCTGAGCCAGGTGCTTCAGGTGTGTTTGTGCGTGGGTTCTGTGTGCCCCTCTATTGCAGCTGAGTCTTGATTGCTGTTGGCACCTCAATGGGAGGGACTGACCCTCAGGCTGATTGACTGTGAGGACTGGCTATGACTACAGTGGAAGAGCTGTTGTGCAGGCGCTGACCCTATGAAGCAGGATCCGCTTTAGGAGGGCTCTGGTGCCTGCCAAGTTTGCCCTTTGAGTGTCATTTGTGGAAGTGGTTGTGTGGTGCTCTGGTGTGGTTTGAGGCTGCCCACCAGGTATGTTGGTTCTGGGGCCTCTTGGTAGATGCAGGCCAAGGTTAACTGCTGCCTAAGCCCTGCCCAGGGCCACTTGGTAGGAACTACAAAGTGGTATGTAGATGATTGCCACTTGTGCTTGGTTTGAAGGTGCCTGGGAGGCTAAGTTGCTAACTGAGGCCAGATGCCACTAGTGCTAAGCCTGGGGCTCCTTAGCAAGAGGTATGGGGCATGCCGAGGCCAGATGCTGCTTGGAGTTTGTGAATCTTTGAGAGATTTTAGAAAAGTCTGCAGAATGAGCCAAGACAGGCTATCTATATGAAAAAGCCACTGAAAACAGCTTGGGTGGGGAGGGGTCTCAGGGAATAACCAGGGCAGGGGGAACAGTGATAGCCAGGTTAATGGAGGCTCAAGATATGGCACATGCCTGCACCTGCAGGGGGAGAGGTCAGCAAAATAATAATGGCTTCTGCCAGCACTTGTGAGAAAGCTGCCCCTCCAGCCCCTGCCCTGAAGCCAAGCATTTCAGTTCCTCCCTGTATGTCCCTGGCATTTTTTGAGCTGCTGTCCCAGTGCTGTAGCTCAGAGGGAGTGAGACCCTGCTCGTGGGCCAGGAGAAGGCCCAGCAGCCCTCTTGTCTCACTCAGCCACGATCTCTGCTGGTTTTCAGTCAGAAGTTATGAGAACTTCTCTCCCTGACAGTGAAACCCTGGGTTAGGGCCTGGTATAGGGCTGGGACCCCTTGATTCTCAGGGGGAACCTCTGCAGCTGAGGTATCCCTGCAATTCTCAACCACCACACGTGGGTGTGGGACCAGCCCCTTTCGAGTCTCTGCCCCTCCTACCCGTCTCAATGTGGCTTCTTCTGTATATCCTTAGTTATAGGCCTTCTGTTAAGCTATACTTCAGGTGAGTTTTCAATGATGGCTGTTCTGAAGTTTAGCTGCAACTCTGATGTGGTCATGGAAGGAGGCAAATACAACATTTGCCTGTTCCACCATCTTGACCAGAAGCCTCTCTTGCATGTAATTTTTAATTAAGGATAGTCAATTTCCTTAAAAAATTAAAATGTGAATGGCATGCTTTGTTTAAATCCAATATAGTAGTATCTTACCTGCAGCCCTTGACCATGGACCATTTGAAGTTGTTCTTGAATTTTTCTTAGTTCTTCTTGTTGCCGATGAATATTTGCCTCTATCATTCGTGTCCGCTGCTCCAGCTGGTCTTTCAGATGCTGCATGGCTCCTAACTGTGCTGAAAACTGAAACTGAAGTACCATGTATAAAAAAAGTATAAGATATTTTAGAATTACTTATTTCTAACTGTGCAATGTGAAAAGCAAGCAGTATATCTAAGCAGAGCTAAGAATGTTATGCCAGATATCAATGTGATGCCTCTCAGCTAATTCACCCATCTTTGCTCAGCTTTGTCATAGTAGGGCTGAACTTGACAAATATTTCTCCTTTGCCAGCAGGCACAAACTTAGTCATGCCAGGTAATGGTGCTAAAGGGATACTACAAAGGGAGGTGCTTATCCTTCTGGTTCTGGTACTCTTCCTTCTTGCTCTTCTGACAATGATTAGCTTCCTAGTAAGTCTCATCAGCACCCAAGCAAGTGGTTCTCCAGCAAGTCTCCCTAAGATCCAAGTGGTCAGCTCCCCAGCAAATTTTACTGGTACCCCACAGGTGGCTTCCTGCTCTCCAGTCCTAGTCCGTGACACTTCAGTGAACTTCTCTACCATCCAGTGGCTACAGCCACACCTCCCCCAGTAGGATCTGAGTCTCAGCCTGGCCTGAAAGAGAAATTTTGAGGGTTTGGGAGAGTCTTCCAAGTTGTTCCTTCCTTGGGTACTCTCTTTTTCACTATAGTTAGAGTTACTTTCTATGTCTGTTATCTTTGTAGTCTTAAGAATTTAGTAGTTAATCCCTGTTACCAGTTAACAATCTTTTATAGTACCCCTGTTCAAATTTCTGACTTCTGAATGCACCCTTGATTAAAAATACACAGTGGCATTAAAAAACCTGAGCTCATATTGTGGCTCTATCACTTGTTAGGACAAGTTATGTAACTTCATTGCTACCCTTTAACAATTGAAAAAGTAGCCTGCACCCAGAGTTATTCATACCAAATTCTGATATCCCTAGAATGTCCTCTTTGTGTGCATCATTAGACACTTACAAAAATCTGACAACCAACCATAATATTTTTTTTGTATTTTCAACTGAAACTGTTCTCGGGTTAAGTACAAAATATAAGCTTTTAAAGACTAAGCAATTATATATGAATGAATACATATGTGAATGAAAAAAAGTTATTCTATTAACAGGGCTTTCAATCTTGCTTTTATTTCTCTATGTTTACCTGAGTCATAAGCAGCTTCTATTTACTACTTCTCAAAATTTAACATTTAGGGATTTACCACTTAAGTCTACACTTAATTATTTTAATTACACTCATTAATTTTTTCCATGAATATTCAGCACAGGATATAATATAAGAGCAGGAAGAATTTAACTTTATTGGAAATCTAACTTAGTTTTAAAATAGTCTTCTAGAGTGAACTGCATCCAAAAGTGAGAAATGCCCCCCAAAAGCTTTTACTCAACTTCAAAAGTTTGTACTGAGGATATCGAGTATTACTTTTCAAAGTATGAAATTGACTTCTGAAGTTGATAATAACCAGACCATACCACAGACTACATTTGGTGTTAGAAAATACTACAAATTTAGTACCCCAAACCCCTCATTCCTTAATTTTTTTAATATTATTCCAAATGTTTTACATATATATATATAAATATATTTTATCCTAAGTAAAATTATAACTTTGGATAACTATATTGTCACCACTTAAAGAACATTTTTGACATAACACATATTCTTTATTTCATGAATCTCTTTAAAATGTTAAATGCTTATTTAGTATCTTGAGATTGAAAATGTCTAAATTTTTACATAAAAATTCTGTTAAGCTTCAGAATAAAAAGCATCTGAGGAATCGATGATAAAAACTGTTACAAGTGCACATAATATTTAATAATACAATGCTATTATAAATACTTTACATGATCATATGTTGCTAAAAGTCAAAATTATGACCTTTAGGAAATTTACTGCACTGTCAATATATTTCTACAAGTGTCATATGTATAATTTAAATAATAACCATAAAAGACAAAGGTGTTTTTAGAAAATTATTTTTATCTATTGTTAACTATCACTATTTGAAATTATGGCATTGTTAAAGTCAAGGTATATTTAATGCCAAACAAAACAGTAAGAATATTCTGGATTATTTTTACTACTCAGTAGTATTTTAAATGTGTCTGAGGCACTGAATGAGTGTAGAGTCGTAAGTTGGGAATCTATAATCAAAAGTAGTTTCTTCTTGTCACTTTTGTAATAATTCTCCTTTGTCTTGCTAATTTCTATATTTAGGCCTCCTTCAGGATTCAGTTTAAGCACAAATTCTTCCAGAAAGTTTTCTTTCACTTCCTCAGGCTCCATAAGTTATAAGTGTCCATCTTATGTGCACCTACCAGCCTGTATACCCTTGGGCATATATTATGTATCATACTGTAGTTCTCTGTCGTTGTAATAAAGTGTTTTAGTATAGATATTATATATTTTGTACTGCCAGCACCTGCAATATCTGATACATATAAGAAACAATAAATGTTCTATATATGAACAAATGAATGAGTACATGAAAATTACTTGATTCTTCCACTATCCATAGGAAGAACAAAATGAACAGCTATATTTCATCTGTAATATCTTTCTGTCTATAGTGTTTTTCAATGGACGTGTTATAGCATATTAAGCAGGGTAATTCTTTGTTGTGTAAAACTATCATGCATGCTAAAACAATTAGCATCCCTGGCCCTTGCCTATTAAAATAAGGGCCAGTGGTACCCCCAGAACAATGACAATCAAAAATATCCCAATATTTTAAATGCCCACAGTTGAGATTTACTGCATCTGTAAGAATATTTTTAAAATCAGTACTAGCTTAAAAACAATCTACCATTTAAAAATACTCAACTGAAACAAACAAACAAAAATACCTGGGACATGCCTTGTGGAACTGGTAAATTTGTGGCTTGAGGCATCACTGGCTGTGTTAATGATTGACCAATAGACTGGGAATTTATCGACTAGAAGCAAAATAAAAAACAACACTGGAGTGATGATCGTGCCCATACATGAATACTTCCACCAGAAATATCACCATGGTAGCTTTATAACTGTATTTCAATTTGCCTCACAGTTTTTTAGCTGAGTACAGGCGACATGTCGCCCCCTCTACAATGAAAATGCCTGTTCCCTACTTATGTTTTTATCTTCCAAGGCATCTGCCACATTACCCTGCATGGGCTCTCAATAAAAGTTGACTGGATTTAATTGAAAGTCATTGGTATTTAAACTCAGATATGGAATGACTCTAAATGATTAGCTTTCCATAACAACAACAAAAAAATCTAACATTTTACATGAAAATAATTATGGGACTGATACCTTTGACTACCGCTTCACAAAAGAAAGACCTTGAGTAGGTGTCATATACCAACAACTATTTTAATCTTTATAGAAAGGGACAATGAATCAATGAATTTCTGAAGATTTAGATGATTTTTTCCCTTTTAATAAATCTTTATTCAGAAGAATGCTAGCTGAAGAGTACCTGACTACTAAATGATGACCTCCTTTGTGCCATCTTTTCATGAGCTGGTAAATGCTGTCTGGGAGGAGTGCTAGTATCCGTTGGGATCTTTGTTGGTGTTGCTGAGAGTAGTCAACAAAAACAGAACAGAATTAGTACTTACAGTTTTTAAATACAGTTTTTAAAATTGAATCTTAAAATGCACTTCAGGGAATAAAAATAAGGTCTTTGAGGTTTTTTCTAAATTATTTAATAAAAGTGAAGTCTACGACAAGATGATTCTTTTTAATTACTTCTTTTTTAAGGACAAAGAAAGGTTGGAAATAGAAAAAACTTCAAATATAATAGTGATTACAACCCTACGACTCAACAGTAAAAAAAACTAGTAATTCAACTGAAAAATGGGCTAAGAAATTGAATAGACATATCTATAAAGAAGCCATACAAATGAACAACCGGCATATGAAGAAATGCTCAATATCACAAATCATGAGGGAAATGCAAATCAAAACCATAATAAGTTATCACCTCACACCTGTCCAGATGGCTATTATAAAAAAACACACACAAAAGACAAGTGTATGCAAGAATGTGAACAAACTAGAACTCTTGCACAGTTAGTAAGGATACAAAACAGTGCAGCCACTGAGGAAAACAATGTGGAGGTTTCACAAAAAATGAAAAACAGAACTACCATATATGATCCAGCAATCCCACCTGTAAGTATTTATCCAAAATAATTGAAATCAGGTTCTTGAAGAGATATTAGCACTCCTATGTTCACTACAGCACTATTCACAATAGCAAAGATGTTGAAACAAGCTAAATGTCCACTGACGTATGAATGGATAAACAAAATGTGGTATATAAGTGGTGGGCAAAAACAGGTTTACAGTTGTTCATATGAAAAATAATACAATAATTAATAATACAAAAATAAACTTTTGTGTACTCACAACTGTAAACCTACTTTTGCCCACCCCTGTATATACAAACAATGGAATACTATTCAATCTTTAAAAAGAAGGACATTCTACAATATGCAACTAGATGAACCTTGAGAATTTTAGGCTAAGCAAAATAAGCCAATGACAGAAAGACAAGGAGTGCATGACTCCATTACCTGAAGTATCTAAAGTAGTCAAATTTGTTGAATCAAAGAGAATGGTGATTGTCAAGGGCTGGGCAGAGGGGAAAGTAGGGAGTTACTAATCAATGGGCATAAAGTTACAATTAAGCACGATGAATAAGCTCTAGAGACTTGCAGTACAACACACTGTACCTACAGTCAACAGTGTATTGTTCACTCAAAAATTTAACGGTAAATATCACTTTAAAGTGTTCTTACCACAATAAAATAAAATTTTAAAAAAAAGAAATGGCTAGCCTGGCTGGGCATGGCTCAGCAGTTGAGCATCAACCTAGGATCCAGGAGATCGAGGTTTGATTTCCAGTCAGGGCATATGCCCAGGTTTGCGGGCTTGATCCTCAGTTGGGGACGTGCAGGAGGCAGCCAATCAATGACTCTCTCATCACTGATGTTTCTCTCTCTCTCTCTCTCT